TGAAGTAGATCTATGTGCTGTTATCAAAGACATCCATGCAGAAGGTCTGCCAAAATGCACTGGTAGCACTTTGTCCACAGCAGTGCATTTTACTCGTCTCTGAGTGACATTATCGGGACTCTAGCTTCCTATTTTTGTCTCGCTGACCAAGGACTTGGCCTACGCAGCACAGAAGTGGGTGGCTCATTAACATTAAAAGGCCAGGCCAGTCCTGCTCCGGAGATGAGAAGAGTCCTTTTTTCTGGAGTCTGCTGCTGTGTCACTGGTAAATAATGAGACTTTTTGTGATGCAGGCCGCCTGGGCAAAGTGGATAAGTAACCCTGTTCAAGTACTTGTTTTCTTCCAAAGACTGTGTTTCAAGGTAACAGTTCAAACTGACATCCTGTTAGGCCAGTTATCATCGCAAATTTCAACATCACAAGGAACAAAACAAAATAACATTCATTTATGGATTATTAGCATTTTTTCAGTTAGCGAAAAGCAGGAAATATTCACTTTAGTGTGATGAAGGTTGGTCTGATGGTTGCCAAAAGCTTTAAAGCCTGTGGGTCTCCATTCCCTCTGCACCTGGTGATAAAGTCGTTTGTATAAATGCAGACATGAGCGAGATCTGAACTCATCCATAAGACAAAGTTTCATGTTGCTGTTTGAATGCTAACTATGCTGGTTTACACACACAACTCCCGTGAGTGTGCATCTCTACCTTTATATTAAGTCTATAAGTCCACCTGTGTTTACAGTAACGATAATGCTCTATGCAAAAGGGCATTTCATAATCATTTATTATAAATAATTATGGCTCTGTTTTTCCTATCAGGCCTAAGATAAATATATTGCACCTTTCGTTTTTTAGCTGACTTATCGAGAATTTTCATTACAAATTACCTTCTCAGCCGCGTCCATTTATTTTCACTGCATTCATCACCTCAGCCCGTTTGAGTAGCACGCATTAATTGGACTCTAAAGGCAAAACATAAGTATAGTTTTTCCATAAGTAGGCGACACAAACAGCGATGTGCAAGCTCTGTAGAGGCTGCTATGATTATTGCTGTTGTTAATAATGTATTCATGAAGTAACTAATGAAACCCCACCTCATTTACAAGCAGCGGCGACATGTTTGGTTGTGGGAAGCTCTCTGTCTCTTTCACGTAACACTTCATCAGAGCTGCTGAAATTAGAGTCGCAGCCGTGGCCTCACTCCAGTCGTACGCAGGATATAATTACCTTGCTGTGTCTTTGCCTTGTTCCTCATAATTAAACTGCCAATGCCAGCGTTGAAAACATCCGTCACAGCATTATGAAGAAATATGAATTTCTTGTCATTTCACAACATGCATGTGTATTTACTCGATTTTAATTCTCCGAGCAATTTACTGAGCGGTACCGCAAGCAGTTTACCGTCTACGACTTGGAAACATTGAGATGATGGGTAGGTAACAGGGCCAATGCAGGCCCTGCGATAAAAATAATGAAAAAACATTAAAGCCGTAGTATTTAAATTACCACAATGACTGCAGCCTGCCATAAAAATCTATTATAAGAACATGAAGATGAACACTGCCGGAAGCCAGGAGGAAATGATGCTGTGCAGGGAATCAGGATTCGGGACTAACAACAGGAAGTATGGATCATATGAGCGCAATATTGTGGATTTTTAATTTATTTTAAGTAAATGGTAGTTTCTTAATCTTATACTGATTTTAGGGGTAAAAACTGTATTTTAGCATTTTATTATTAGTATTAAGGAAGAGGGTCGGAGTCATTGTTAACCTTCAGCAGTGTATTTTTACACACTTTGTAACTGCAGATAGCACTGATAGTGGTGTAAACAAGCGAGCTGCTGGGCATCTTTTCTCCGTTATGTTCTGTAACACAGGAAACATCCTGACACCAAGATGAATAATACAAGCCTGTAATAACAGCCAATCATTAAGCCAGTCGGACTCAGCCGATGTGAATGCAAGACTAACGTGTGCTAGTTACTTTCAGCAAGACATTTTAAGGACTTCCTGCTATGATACTCGCAGTTCTCACACTGGATCACGCTGGTCACACTTTGTATATCAGTTTGATTTATTGCATAAATGCTTGCTTAAACTTAGAGTACAATGTGTGAAGGAGAGATGAGAAACACCTTATTATTTACATGTGGAGTTCAGATTTGGGCCCAGACTGTCAAGTCAGGGCTGTGTGCAGGCAGGAGTGGTGGTAAGGAGGACCCAAAGTGCAGACGCTCAGAGGCAAGAGCGTACTTCAAAACAGCTTTAATGCTAAACTCAAAAAGTACCAAAACTGAGAATCCAAAATAAACACGGCCGGACGGACAGACAGACGAGAGTAGATCACGACCAGGACGGAAGAAAACACAGGCATCCTAACACAGAGAGATTTATTAGCTCAGCTGTTTAACCCTCTCGAGGCGGGCGTCGCCGATTTGCAACAGTTAAAAACTAACAACCTGATTACCCAACATACATATTTTATGAGTTTGCTGTACTCAGAAGTACCACTGCAGGACTTGGTTGTGCATTAGCAACAAAAAGTTTAATTTGAGCCTGAGAGGGTTAATAGAGGGTGTACTGCAGTATTTAAGAGGGACCAGAGAAAAAAGGTACTTGGTGTTGTAGGGATTTGGTGGTTTCAGCCCAGATGATACTCTTCTGTTGCACCACACACACCAGCAAAAACAAAAATGCTAAACAAAATAATGTGGTGCAGCGACACAGGGCTATGACACAAACTCACATGTTTCTAAATGTAAACAGCTACTCGACCTCCAAATTTCTGCTTCAAACACCGACTCTCTGATGCCATGCTTCCTGATGGAGCCGACAGCGAAGGCTCCCCTCGATGCAATTTGTGTGCAAGTCAGCAGTCTGCAATTACCTGCCATCTTTCACCACGAGGGGCCGCACCGTGGCCTTGATGTCAGTCAAAAGGATCATTTCATGTGGAGATCTGAGACCTTTGACACAAACACATGTGTCCTTATAGCAGGTCTCTCTGACCCTGCTTGCTTCTACAGTGTCTCACACACGCATGTACTGTGTGCGACGCTGTCATGTTGTCATGATGACTATAAAGGACTGAATAAGTCAGAGGAAGCTGCTCTGCTCTGTTTGGCTTCCTGTTCTTTGCTCTGCTTCTGACAGGAAGGCGGTCACAAATCATGAAATAAACCAGCTGGAAAGAAAAAAGTGGCCATGCAGAGTATTCGCATTTTGCATGAAAGGCAGTCATGTCATTAAGTAAATCTGTAGCGACAGGCATGTATGTACGTGAAGAGAAATGGGACCGCACACCAAAAACTGCCCCATCATGTTTACTGTGTACATAAATAGGACAGGAACTTGTAAGCCGTATGGCTGCACACCACACAACTGTGCATCCAAAACTTACATTCCCAAATTCCCAGTTATTTCCAGACAGGACTTACAACATCCTGCTGATATCCCAGCTGCACATGAGACTTACCACACAAATGGTGTGAGAAATAACACAACACTGCAAACTGTTACACCCCGTTTAGCGACACTGCAGTCAATTTACCTGTGACACGCACTGCAAACAATTCGGGTCTCAGTACAGCTGGGAAGCAGCGCTATGCATGACCTGTAATCTGGAATATAAAGGGAAGTGGCACAATCAAATAAACAAAAAACAAAGAAGGAGGTTAGTCCGCCCTTACACAACTCACTCACAATCAATACCCGCCTTCACGGCTGGACGAACTAACCAAAACAAAATTCCAAATCAATCAAAAGAACGAACAAAAAAGGACAGCAGAGACAGCACAGCTGAACAACACAAACAACATTATGGAATAAAATATTACCCAATAACATATCAATTTTGTGAAACCATTCAAAGTCAAAGCTAAAACACACACTCAATATACCTACAATATTGATCCGTCTCCCTGCGCGCAGTCGATCGAGGGCTTGATCAATTCTTCTATTAAAACTCGTGGTCACACTACAAAAGTCCAGCGACACGCATTAAAAACGGGCACCTACAATAACAAATTATCCAAACAAAATGGCAAAAGTCTCTTACCGACAGTATGCCCACTCGCACCCGAGTGAATTAATCACTCTTCTGTTTTTTCCACAGAAGAGTGCTGACCTCACCCCACACACCCACTACCTTTTCATAGCTCTTCAGCCAATCACCTGGCAGAGAGCAACAAACTGCCAGGTGACACGTGTTACAATCGGTTTTCTTAAAGCCTCTTTGAAGTGTTTATAGGTCTGCTACCATAATAAATAAACACAATTCAACAGTTTCCTTATCATTAGTAGTCTTGCCGTTAATTACATTACAGTAAGCTGTCGTATTCAAGGGTTATTGCAAAACAACACAAACTCTGGTTGATTAAACTAATTGATGGCAAACAAACATGTATTTAAAAGGTTCCCAGTACAGGCTTTGATTTCCTGTCAGAAGAAATGTTAGAAAATGCTCCAGGAAGCAAACTCCCACATTACACTGACAGCCTTCGGTCTGCTGATTGAAGGGTGCAACTATCATCCTGATAGAGTTCCTTAAGTCCAACTCTGTCAAGGAAAGGTGAACATTTTGTGTGTTTCTGATCGTCTTAGAAAGAACAGACCAAGCTTAAAATATGCAAATTATTGAACGGCAGAAACAGTACTTCAGGTTTAGCTGCTGTTTTGAAGAATTAACCGATTCTGTTGAAAGAAGGTGCCAGCCGCGTGTTTCATTCTGGTCGGGTCTTCATCCATTTCCTGCAGCTGCATTTCCAGCATAAAGCATTTTTCCTCTAAACTCTGCCTTGACATGCAGATGTGATGAGTCATCAGGAGTGTGAGGTCTGTACATTACAGCACGGAAATAGGCAGACGTGACATTTCCAACAGTAGGGTGATTGCAAATTGCAAGAGCTAACTATTCACTCATTTCCCCCCTGTCACCTTCCACTCCTTCCTTCCTGTTTTCTTGAACTGTGTCCTCTCTCTCTCTCTCTGATGTGTGCAGTCAGATACCGAGTTCTGGGATAAGATGCAGGCAGAGTGGGAAGAGCTGGCTCGGCGAAACTGGCTGACGGAAAACGAGCAGGCACAGATTCCCTCCACTGTGTCTCCGTACGAGAAGGTCACTATCATTAAAATGTTACTCTCAGCGCGCACGCAGATTCGTCCTGATGACAGTGATGCAGGAATATGCAGAACTGCGTGTGCGCCTAGAGTGAAAGTGTGCAGTATGTTTACATCTGACATCTATAAAAACCTGAAACCAAATATAGTTTTATCAGCCTTTGTAGATCAACATTTAAAATATCTGAGCTATTTATTGTCTTCCACGTTGATTTAGTGTCCAATTCTGTATTTATCCATGTGTGACTGTCAGAATTTATGCAGCCATAAAATGAACCTGTGCTAATATTCTCACAATGCTCATGAGGGAAGATTTATGATTAGTAAGTGGCCTTGAAGTCTCAAAGTGATGAATGAGTGAGCAACGGAGGGATTTTAGGAACAGGCGTGATTAATGGAGGCTTGTCACCCTGAGGTTAACGGTCAACTATCAGAGACTTTAAGGTTACTGTAATGCACCGAGCTTTGTGGATCCAGAACTTTTATATATGTGAATGGGTTTTAAAAATGAGGAATGACGTGTAAACTAGTGTTAAACGACTCCGTGTTGAATGTGAAGCCTTTGGTCTCAGTCACACATACCTGGTAAGCACTGGTATCCATGCAAAGATGAGTATTCCTCTAGTGGTTGCCAGTAGTTACTGGAGGTCGCTTGCCGTCGCTGTGAAACTGATTCTTAAAGACCAGCCAGTGATGCCATCACTACCAGTTACTATACTGTCGCTTAGCATTAGCTGATAACAGTGGTCACCTCCAGTTTGTGTGGAAGATACCTAATTGTCTGCAAGCACTGGCTAACTACTGGCTAAGTGATTGTGAACCTGTGACGTGTAACCTGTCAAACTTTCAAGTTTCACTAGCTAGGAGGCCAATTAGGGAGTCTATGCAGACAAGTGGCTTCTTCCATGTAAGCTCCAGGCGACCGTGGCAACCTGCTAGTGACCAAAGAATTTAAATAGAAGTTTCCAGCAACATAGCCAACACCCATTAGCCAGGTTGTTGGGGAATATGGATTTTTTTTCACCTAGAGTCAGCTGCCGGGTGAATGCTGTGCCACAAAGGGATGAGGTGGTCTCTAGGTCTGTTTGACCGATTCCCTATTGTGTATGAGAAGAGTGACAATATGAAAACCCAAGAGTGAAACAGCGAGTAAAGCTAAAGCTGCTTATTTTATTGAAAGCAGCACAGATAATTAAAGTCTAAGAGTCTAAAAATATGCCATTCTGAAGAAGAAACATACAAAAAAAAAAGTAATAATTTAGTTGTATTTATCTTTCTGGTTCACGCCAGACTGATCAACACTACTTGTTAATGTGTTGTGATGCAATGTAACAACGCCTGCACACTGACCTGCATGTTTACCGCATCACAATGACGTTTTCCCGAGTTTCAGAGGAAATGAGCACATGTCTGAGCATCACCCACCAGCTGACCTTCTTATGCCAGGAAATCATGTGAGATCAGACTTGTGGGCTTTCTGTATTGATCCCAGCGTAGCGCTCGTTCTTAAGGAAAAATCTGTTTCAAAGTCATCGTGCTCAAAAGCACGCAACACACCAGGGTAATCACAGTTTGAAAATGCAAAGTTTAACATTTAAAGAGAGCAGACAAACCCTGGGGAGCTCAGTCCAGGTTTGATGTGAAGGAGAAAAGATCAATTCCTGCTCCTGCAGTTTTGCTTAAATATACAACTGCACAGGACACTTGGTTTGCAATGCAATAATAGAAGAGTGAAACTGACGTTGCCACTGTGCTTGTTTTTATCTTTTCTTCTTGCTGATAGGGTTACTACTTCCACACAGATAATCCTTATAAGGACTTGCCTAATGCATTCGAAGAGGGACTGAAGAAATCCCGAGAGGGAGACTTGCCAAACGCTGTGCTTTTGCTTGAAGCAGCTGTCCTACAGGACCCTCACGATTCAGAGGTGAATTCTGCTAATATACACATGCACAGAGCTGTCAACACACACTGTTTACCCAGTCAAGTCAGTAGCAGAGCTATTCATATTTACAGACATTTGTACACTTTTAGAGTACAAATGGCCGATAAAACTGCAGCCTTACGCCGGCTAACTGGACTGGATCACTGAGGCTTTCATTGCAAAGCTATGGCTAAATCCTCCCCTGCTACAGAGGAAGAATGCCTCACTGACCAGCTGATTTGGTAGGCAGCACCCACAGGCTCAATGCTGATTGCCTGTAGAGGTCAGGGGATTTTTTCCCTTTTAAAAATAGTTGTTTACTGTAGCAAAAAAATACTCAACTTGCACTTGATGAGAATTTCCATTTGCCCAGTGAGATGAACAATAGCTCATTCTCCTTTTTGTATTCCTCCCATTTCAATGGAGTGACCTCTTTGCGAGCTGAAAGAGCAAAGCCTTCATTCAAAGTACTTCGGAATCCCCTGGAATATACAGAAATGTGCCAGTTATTCCGAGGAGAGGATTATCCCACGGTATATGGAACTAATACGATTCCAAATTTCCTTGTAGGGCACGTAGCGACTTATTGGCCGACTGCGAAGACCTCTGAATCATTCAGAAATCATTTGGCGCCTGGTTTCAAAGAGCTGAACAAAAAAAGCATGTAGAGAGATTAGAACAGGTTATTAAATGTGCCCTTACACACACATCATACAGTGGGACTAATCTCATAATCTGGATTGGATTTCAGGTTCGTTATATCATTGTCTGGCCTCTTGTGTTGATGAAGGCCCTAATTCAAGTCAGTGTCGTCCCTCTAACACATAAACATATTCCAATTAAAGAGGACAGCAAGTCATTTAAAGCTGTGGGATAATGATCTGCTCAGCTGAGCAGCAGAAGGGGATGATAATCAGCTGCTTTGGGCAACGATGAGACAACCCCCAAAACAGGAATGCTTTTTTTCCTTCTTGTTTTCACTAGTTTTGCATTTGGCTAGGGTCAGTGTTACTACTGGTAGCATGAGGTAATACCTGGACCCTACAGAGGTTGGTAGTAACTCCTCCAGGAAGGCTCATCAGTACGTACCATTGCAAGGAGGTTATCTGTGTCTACCAGCACAGCCTCGAGAGAATGGGGGAGATTGGGGTGTGCCAAGTTACACAGGAAATGGGCAGAAAATGAGGGGCAAGAGGACTTCTGGAGAGATGAATCCAAATTTGAAATATTTGGTTCAAAGTGTTGACAGTATGTATGGAGGAGCAGCCCTGAGTGTCTACAGCCAACTTTTAAACACGGTGGAGGCACAATCGTGGATGCAGTTACCTTCACATTTTGATCCACTGTATATCATCTATAAAGCATCTGATTGGCAGGGGCTTCATGTTTCAGCATGACAGCGATGCCAAACACGATGCCAAACAATGCAGTAAATGCATACCTGGATAGGTCCCATCGCGGTTACACACAAAAGAAACTATATTTATTATTAAAGTATGCTCTTTTTCAGTTTTACTACATAATATCTGATGGTGCCTGAGGACAATAGTCCAAATAAAACACTGTCAGTCTTAATCATCACTGCATATACCCCAGTTGTACTTCCTTAAAATTAGCTGGAGCCAGACAACAGCCGTGGCAGCATAGGCTGTACACTGTTTCCACCGTGTGTTTTTTACTCTTTGTTCTTTACCTGTTTGTATTGTTTTGATGCAGGCCTGGCAAGTCCTGGGGACCACCCAGGCTGAAAATGAGAACGAGCAGGCAGCGATTGTCTCCCTCCAGAGGTAATGACAAACAACTGCATTCAGTTCCCATTTAAAATCAAAAAACGCTCGCAGACATTGGAGTCAGTCAGCTGTTGCTGCTTGGGAACACCATATGTTTGCACAAGTGGGACACTGTGGAAATATCATGTGAAAAGATGAAGCCCAGCACGTGAAATTTGCCTGCGAGGTTTCACTGAACTGTTTAACAGCAGTAGGTTCAGCGAGAACAAAACCAAGTCATAACTATATGCCGATGTTAAAACAGTATTATAAGAAGAACACCATCACAGTTTTGTTCAGTTATCCTTAGATGGAGATGGGAAGAGCAGGCTCTGGGAGTTTTATTCTTAAAACAGAGACACCCCACATGGATGGTGATAGCACAGAGCACGTTTATGAGCAGAAGCCTCAATGGGAGGTGGCCCACTTTCATTCAAACTGGTGAAGCCGGAAATGACACCTTTCTGGGAATGTGAGTGCTGACAACAGAAAACACAAGAGATTCAGCAGAAAGTGTTCTTCCTTCAGATATGGTCCATTTTTCAGAAGAAAGAAACAAGACTAGGAAAATGTGATCGCTGTTAGACGTGGATTACAAACGGTGTCCGCTGTCATGCAGAATATCTTAGTTGGCCTGAGATTCCTGCGGTCCAGCAGAGTCCTACACGCTCCTTCTGTGGTTTGAATGTCTGTGTTATGTAATGGCTCCATCTGCGAAGGCTCTTTTTGTATGAAGTGAGCTTAAATGTTTTTAGCTTGTGGTTACAGTGGCATCGTTTCAGATTCACAACACTGCTGTATTCTCTTTTTTATCTGTTTGTTGAATAATGTCATATGCTTAACTTTGTTTTGCCATGTTTATGCTTTAATTCAGAAAATGTCTTCTTTGATACAAAGGCTACACCTACAGTACTGCTATTTGAAATAAAGCAATTAAGATGTGATCGAAGGGCAGACTTTAAGCTATGACTCGAAAACCGTATCACATTAACTGTTTTTTTATGCAAAGTCCATTTTCAGACAGGTGACTGAAAGGTGGGTTTTTGACAAGGTGAGACCCGTTCCCTTGTTATTCGATGACAAATTAAGCAGATGAAAGATCTGATTCCAATTGTTTACCTTCTGTTTAGTAGCTGTTTGCTGGAAACTGCCAAAAAGATGAGACGTTATATGTAAAGTTCATCATTAGGCTGGAAAACAAAATAAACATAGAAAGGCCAGTTCATGCCTTACTCTAAGAAAATCACAGAGGGCCTGGAAGAGCACAAAGTAGAGCAGAATTGTTGATGCAAATGATGCAAAGAGAAAAGCACGCCAAACCAGAGAAATGAAGCAAACCACATCGTCCGTCAAACACAGTGGAGGCTGTGCTATGGCACGGGCATGTGTGGGTCACAACTGTTTATTGATGGTGTGACTGCTGATAGAGGTAACAGGATGCACTGTGAAGTGTACAAGGCTATACCCTCTGCTAAATGGTGCTAAACTGATCAGAAAGGATTTCACAGTGCACACCAATAATAAGAAGCATACTGCACATAGCAAGGCAAACATGGCCGACTCAGTCACCGGCTTTCAACCAACAGATCGTGCTCTTTAGTTACTGAAGAGAAAACTGGATACAGAGAGATCCCAAAAAGTAACAACAGTAGGAGGCTGAAGGCCTGGCAGATCATCTCAAGGGCGGAAACACAGCATTTGGTGATGTCCATGAACAGTTGTCGAGGTACAGGCCGTCAAAATCTGCAAATTGTGTCTGACGGTCTAATTATTTTTAAGCCTATAAAAATGGGGGACTAAGTATAAAGATGTCTATAATTCCTAAACAGTTTCGTATTTTTGTTAAACGCCTTGAAGTCAAGTCTGCACTTTGATCACACCTTAATTGTTCGATTAAAATCCACTATGTACGGAGGCAAACAATGCAACACTGTGTGAGTATTTATGGGCCTAACTTTATATGCAGTGAACGTCAGTGTCCTGAACCAGGGTTTACGTCATTTGCAGTGGGACTGAAATAATTTGGTTTGTGCGAGATTAGGATGGTTTTAAGGAAGCTGGCACATCAACTGTAGCAAATCTGGCTAAAAAATTATCTTGTTGAAAGCTAAATCTCGTTTTGGCCTCCCCTTTAGTCTTTCAACTAATCCAAGTCGTTCATCCAACACTGTTCTGTTCTTCTTCCCTTTTCAATTATGAAGTGCCAGCACAGTGGCAAGCGTCCACGTGATATAACCGGTGATATAACTTCAGCAATTACTACAAACATACTTTCCGTCTCTGGAACAACCACCCATGCCGTTTTGCCTAAGTGCAAAGCTAATTCAAATCATCAGCTGTGGGTAGCATGCAAACACGACTCTCTGCAGCAGAGACGGAGCAGGAGAAGTGTTGCTCGTTCGCTCTGGCCCAGAAATCATTAGCCTTGGCCTGATGTTCCTCTGCTTTGGCCTGTCCCAATTAATGCTTGTCAAATCTAGATTTCTCTTTGAAGTGAACACCTTACTTGATTTCTCTTCTCCCGTGAACGAATCGTGTCTCCATCCAGGTGTTTGGAGCTCCACCCAAACAACCTTATAGCCCTCTTGGCTCTGGCAGTGAGCCTGACCAACACTGGTATGCGCCATGATGCCTGTGAGGCCCTCCTCCGCTGGCTGAGACACAATCCCAAGTACAAGCATCTTGTCAAAGGCAAGACTCATCTAACGGGATCTCCAAACTCCCAGCGCAGGATGTCTCATGCTCCCAACCTGGGCAGACATGAAAGGTAGAGTATTTAAACTCTTTAGACCTAATTAAAAGGATCACTACAGCATAAGAAAACCTGCAGTCTCTTGTTTGCCACTTTATTAAAGATGGACGGATGTCTCGTATGTTGGCTTTGTACACATATCAGAGGCTGCAGCAAGTCAAAGGTGTTGTTGATGAAGTGGAAAGCAACATGTAGCTGTGCAGGTTTCTTAAACTTGTAGCTGTTAACAATTACTAAACCAAGTTTAAGACATTTCACTTTAAAATCTGGTCCTGGGTGTTTGTTTTGTACACTAATACACTGATTATTTAACAATAATTGGCTATTATTTTGCTATCTGTCTGTTTTCTTCCACCTCTCTAATTCAGAGTCACAAGGAGAAGGGTTATCTCAACTATTATAAGCTACAACCCGGACAGGTTGGTGTGTGTTTAAAGGGCTAACAGAGAGAGACAGACAAGCATTCACACCTGCAATGCTAACCACAACACATACCTTCAGGACAGGCATGTGGACGTTAACCTGCAAGGAAAGAAGGGTGTTGGTACTAGCAGTTAACATTAGCCACACATCAGTTTTTCCTTCTATTTATAACATTATAACATACTGAATTTGTGTGTTTTTTTAATTCAACAATAAATATCACGTGCTGGGAATATTTTTAATTCTAGCAAATATGAATGACAAAATCCTTCTTCCACAGATTCCTGGTTCCTTCTTTCCTAATAGCAATTGTTGCCACAGCTGACGATGCTGTGGCAGACGGGCAGTTTGACGTGTGCTTACACTCCGTTGCAACATTATAGCAGACGGCTTCATTCATTTGGCTGGCTTATCTTTATTATTGGGATTGTTCGTGTCTCTAATATAAAATATATGCACAGCCAAAAAAATAAAAGGAAGACACTGAAACTGTCAATAGGAAACAAACAATCATGCTAGATATCTATACTGACATGGACTGGGTAATGAAAGGATGCTGAGATGGTGCTCAGAGTGGGCCCCAAGAGTAGCTGACAACAAAGGGGCGTGCTCCTGATGAGGTAACTGATGGCGTCCTGGAGGAGCTCCTCCCAGATCTGGACCAGACTATCGCTGAGCTCCTGGACAGTTGGAGTTGCAGCCTGGCGGCTTCGGATAGACAGAAACAGAAAGTTTCAGATGTGTTTTATTGGATTTGACTTCTGTTGTTAAAACTGGTAAAATTACGATTCCAGGATTTGTTAATACTCTCGTATATGTACTTGTGAAATGTAGTACTGGTGACACTGGTAGTGGCAGTAATACTGGTGAGATGGTAGACGGAGGGTTACAGTACATGTGTGGACCTTGTTAAATTACTTTGTTAAGTGCGTGCTGTCTGCAATATTTTAAGTCGTATAATTGAGGTTGTTTGGTATATCTGATCTGAAAGACCTAATTCCACTCCCGAGGTAAAGTAGCGCTTTATCAAATCATTAATCGTCTAGTCAGTGTGAAGAGACACAGTTACAGCCCAATTACTGCGGTCTCCCCTCTAGTCCACGGAATAACATCCCTTTAAATTTTTGCTGCTCACCTCATCCCTCATTTTCTATCCCTTCCTTTTATCGCTCTGCTAAGGCTCGCGTCACAGTTTTCAGATACATGCACTGCTAAATATTAGACCACAGCTTCACTCATGTTTACAAACATCAGTGAACATGTTTACAAACTGTTTACAAACAGAAATTCATTCTTTCCATACGACCGGCCTGGTTTCCAGTTTTCCTCTCTGTACCGCCCCCATCATTCCCCCGGCTGCCTCTCATCATGTTACGCTGTGAATAAAAGTCCAGTGCACATCATGGCCCTGCAGTCTTATGCGTGCTTACTCAGCAGCCTTAAGTCACACTAATCCTTATCTCAATTTTGTGTGTGTGTGTGTGTGTGTGTGTCCACAGCTCCCTGCTACCAGAGGTCAAGGAGCTCTACCTGGAAGCAGTTCAGCAGAACTCTGACAGCATCGACCCAGATTTGCAGACGGGCCTCGGGGTGCTTTACAACCTCAGCGGAGAGTTTAACAAAGCCGTGGAGGCCTTCAACACGGCTTTGTCAGTGCGGCCCGAGGTAGACACACAGCCCTACGCACTACACACAGGGGCACGGTTTAATATGCATGGTTCTCCAAAAAGATGACTTTAGGCTGACACTTTACCATATACCAGTCAACAACTTAGCAGCTTTGTTAGTTAGGCTCTACTTATCAAGTATAGTTTTTAAAAGAGAGAAGGGAAATAAGTGATAATCCAAACACGGCTCATAACACATGAACAGCTGGCACTGCATTAATGCACCAATGTCAACGGCTTTCATACAACAGTGGATCGGTTGCTCACATATTACATCCATGTTACAGCACAACAGTGGGTTTTCTGTTGTCGTGGTGTTACGGCCCTAGCAGGGCCTCCTCCTGAAGATGCCTGTGTGGGCGTGTCCCACCACCTCTTCTGCCTGAGGTGCCACCTTTCCCTTTTACACAGCTGACTCGCGTCAGTAATCAAGGAGATTTAAGCCCAGGGAAAGGTGAGCTCTGGGCCAGCGTGCCAGTAGTGTGGTTACAGCTTGTGAGCTGAGTGCTTGTTGTGTTTGCAGCTAGTGAGCTGCTCTTTCTTTTTGGCTTACGTTTTACTTTATTGATAAGGTATGTAATTTAGACTTAGACTTTAGACTTAGTGGTCTTAGTGTTTCAGAAACTGCTGATCTGCTTTCACACACAATCATCATCTCTCAGGTTTAGAAAGAATGATTCAAAAAAAGAGAAACTTGGTGAAAATCCTTCCTTGGTGTCAGCGGTCAGTCAAAAATAGCTTCCAGCTGATAGGAAGCCAACAGTAACTCAAATATGGCACCAGTTACCACAGTGGGTGAGCAGGCGATCGTATGGCCCTTTCATGCATGTCTTCCCTGTCTTTCTCTGCTTTCCTGTCTAGTTCCATTATTGTAATCAAATAAAGGCAAATGCCAAAAAAATAACCAGTTATTACAGGCAGTGTATAAAAAGAGCATCTCTGAGTGCACAGTGCAGCAGCAGAAGACCACACTGTCTGCCCCGCCTGCTTAAAACAGGAAACTGAGGCTACAGTTTACATGGATAATACAAGACTGGAAAAATGTTGCTTGATTCAATGAGTCTCATATTCTGCAGCAACAATCGCTTCATCCGGCTTCGCATCAATAGTTCAGGCTGTTGGTGTTAGAGTGGTGCTGGGTACAGTATCTGGAGAAGCGGCCCCTTTTGTGCGCCACGGACCAGTTTAATGTCGGACCATATTTTCACGGGCCGGCCTTTAAGGTGTGGCGGATAAATACAACAAAATAAAATGATACAACCGAGACAAAAACTGTGGCGCTTTGTAAATATAATAATAAAAGCGAATTCACTGTGTAATTGTGTAACTTTATTAGCAGCGTCCCCCTGAACAACAGCGAGAGTAACATCCCCCTCTCTGTTACTATGGTAACGCGTAAACGTTTCTTTCAAAATAAGACGCACAACTTCAACACGGGAAAGACCCAGGGAACTGAAAACTGAAACCTCAAGCCTCGCAGCCCGGTATCAAACGAGCGGTCCGTGGCCCGGGGGTTGGGGACCGCTGATCCAGCGCACTTTGGGCCTCTTAGTACCGACCGGTCAGTATTTAAACACCACAGCCGACCTGAGTATTGTTGCTGAACGTGTCCATCCCTCTGCTGACAGCAGAATAGCACACTACGTCCCATGGATCAGATCAAACTGGTTTCTTGAACATGACACTGAAGTCTCTGTACGGCCACCACAGTCACCAGATCCCAGTCCAGCAGAGCATCTCTGGGATGTGGTGGAACGCAGATAAATCTGCAGCAGCTGTGTGTGTTGGTTGTGTGTGTGTGTTATTATCGTGCTGATGTGAACCCTTCAGGAATGTTTCCTGTGAGCGTGTGCTGTGCTTTCTAATACTGTACATACTGTAAGAGCCAGACTTCCAAACACACGCAGCAGACACGAAGCCCCAAAGCATAGCGAGGATGAGCCACGATATCAAGGGAGAGCTTGTGCAAACAGATGCAGTGAGGCACAGCAAACTGTCACAGCAATATGCGAACTGTCGCGCTGCCAAATCTGGCCTGGTGAACTCCTGACTGGCACACATATGCTCTCGCTTGTGATCCAGCACAACGGTTGAGCAAGACGCAATCCGCACACACATACACAAAAACACACATAATTACGCAGAGAGCTAAAAATAATCTCAGATGCATGCATATTCACTCCACTAGAACACACAGGCATGCGACAGATAAAATGGACACGCACGCAAATACAACCAAGAACTTTTCTACCATTTCTCTGTATGCAAATGAGCTCCATCCTCCCAGCACTGTCCCAGGCCGGCATGAATATTACTCACTGTTAAATCCAGCCTCCCGCATTTGACTTGGTAATATCAGGTCCCCTGCTGGAAAAATAGCTCTGAACACAAAGGGAGATAATTATACCCCAGTGCTGGGCTTAGCCAGAGATGAAGGATCCCTGTAACAGACCATGACCTCTGTATGTGCCTGTCTACCTGCAGGTGGGAAACAACAGCAAGGACATCCTTTGTGATATAACTCAGCTATCCTTAAATTACCCTTCTTGAGTTACTTTTAACCAGGGGAGATGTTACAATGCTCCAAAACAGCCCCTTGTTATTTAGGTCTCTAAAGAAAGACTGCTTTGTCACGCTGTCACTGCAGATGGAAGGCCATGTGATGCGCAGCAGCCCAGATTATCCAAGTCCTAATTAGTCCACCTATTGTATTAAAGACACTGCAAGCTGATTTTTAGGTCCTTCAAAGGTGGACAGCGTTTAAGCCTTGAATAATTAAATAATAATTGAAGCGATGTCGCTGATGAGTTTTAAATTGCACTAAATGACTGAATGCAAGTCTTGAGTATGTTGGTTATTTAGGCTGGCAGCATCTGACACCACACTGAGCTGTACCAAACCTTCACTACCTGACATTTCCTATTCCTCAATCAACCGATGACTCGCACTCTTGTGCAGGACTACTTGTTGTGGAACCGCCTCGGGGCCACGCTGGCGAATGGAGATCGAAGCGAGGAGGCGGTGGAGGCTTACACAAGAGCCCTGGAGCTGCAGCCGGGGTTTATCCGGTCCCGCTACAACCTGGGCATCAGCTGTATTAACCTGGGGGCACACAGGTGAGTGATCTGTGAGTGGGATAGCATTTCTATTCTTTTTGCGTAATGCAGTGGAGTAGAATTAATAAGCATAACAGCCAAAGTGTAGGTCAGAAAGGGCAGCAGTTGAAGTAAGACAATGCACAGAGTTAATATGTGAGTTTTCATAAATGCCAAATAAAAGCATGACATCTTCACACTGAGAAGGCTGCAGACGATATTGGCTCAAAAATCAAAATGTGGCTGATTAATTTCCTGTTGATAGATTTATTATTGCAGCTCGAATCTAAATTGCAAAATGTGTGACTTGGTGCACAAGATCTCTTCTTATGAATCATTTATCTCGTGTGGTGAGTGGAATACTGTCTGCACATATCAATTCTGCTCATGATACCAATCATATGCATTCATATGAGTTTTAATATGTACCTGCCAGACAACACCCAAAAGGCAAATGCTTATCCACAAACAGAAAATATTCAGATTGAAGCTACTATCAGCGTAGAAATACAAGCAGCAGCACACAACCAGAAATCTGACATGAGCAGACATCAAGACATATCCAAACTCAGCCAGTTACACTCAGAGATGGGCAGTAACGCGTTACATGATGAGTAAGTAAGGGATTACTATTGCAAATTACTATTACTATTACTATTGCAAAAACGGTAATTAGATTACAGTTACTTTCCCGTATGAAACGCTGCGTTACTGCGTTACTGAAACCCTGATTTTTTTGCGAGAATGTCTCATGACAGCGACGTTCGTGACAACAGCTGTGTGCAGATCAACAGTGGATCATATCTCGAGTGCAGAGAGAGTATGAGCGGCAGCGTTTAAAGCGGAAGTACTGACCTTACTTTGAGTTTGATTCCATAAAAAGTGACAAAAACATTAGTGTCCGCTGTGCGTGGGAAGAAAACTTCTTTTTACAGCGAAAAAAAACCCTAAACTTCCAAACAAGCACCGAGTAGCTACAACGTGATGGGAAACTCACAGAGACACTCGCGGATTCTTCCACTGACCGCGGCACACCTGCACCAGGTAACCTCCGCCTACCCCACTCCTGCTTACAGGTGAAAATAGAGCAACAGACCGCTGAGTCTTTGATTTATTATTTCTGCTGTGTTTACTTGCATCTATTTGAAAGACTGAGTGTAAACACACAAAATACTTTATTTTGTGTGGAATGTGCAGAAAATAGGTTTAAATGTTAAACTCATTTCTTCCAGTCAGAGAATGTGCAGAATTAAATTTTTGCTTGATGCATAAGTTAAAAGATTAAAACTAATAAACAAGTTTTAAAAAGAGACTTTTCCATTGATTACATTTGTATGATGGATTATGCAGAAAAAGTAGAATTGGGCTGAAAGATCTATCGCTTTATCACCTATTCAGGTTGTAAATCGTGTTTTTAAAACGTAACTAAGTAACTGAGTAATTAGTTACTTTTGAAAATAAGTAATCAGTAAAGTAATGTGATTACTTTTGGGGGAAAGTAATCAGTAATTAGTTACTGATTACTTTTTTCAAGTAACTTGACCAACACTAGACAGCTGTCAGTGGCCGAAGTAAATAAATAGCATAGACACTAACAAAATAAAAGCATAGAAATAGTCATAGAAACAACAGGACTTCATGTAAATTTACTCTAGTTCAAATGAGTAAGTTTTCTAAACCTTACCACTAAAACGCAAGAAATGCCTTGACGTTGAGGTAGCTTTAAATGTCTGCACAGTTGCCTTAATGCAACCACACAGGTCCTGTTAGTTTGGCAGGTGAGACATCTGCTTGAGACGTCTCGCAGAGTGATCAAGTGCAGTAAGGTTTGTTATGTTTTGGCCTTTTTGTTTATATTCTTGTTGTGCAAAATAAGTTGGTCTCGTCTTCCTCCCCTCACCCCAACCGACTGGGCGGGCCTCTCCCTGAGCCTGGATTTGTCCAAGGTTTCTTCCTGTTTGATGGCAGCAACATTTCTCAGGGTCATCTTTACCACTGTGTAGTATCGCCTCTTCTTTTAACAACAGTCTGTACGTGTCTCAGAACTGAGGAGACCAGCTGATGGAATTTTGTGATGCAATGACTTGCTTTTATTCCTTCTTCCCCAGAGAGGCGGCCAGCAACTTCCTGACTGCCTTAAGCCTTCAGAGGAAAAGCCGGAGTCGCCAGCAGTCCCACCAGGTGATGTCTGGAAACATCTGGGCGGCTTTGAGGATAGCTTTATCCATGATGGACCAGCCTGAACTCTTCCAGGCTGCAAATATCGGCGACTTGGATCATCTCATGCGGGCCTTCAACTTAGACATTTGACGACCAGGAGGCAGTAATGCTAACATCTGCCCCCTCTTCACTTACTATCTGATTTCTACCCAACAGCCAAAAGTCCAAAGTGCACAGTCAGAATGGACTGATGGACGTCAGAGACAACAGTGTATTTTTATGCACGTCCAAATTAACTACAGTCGTCAAAGCTATTATATTTTTCACCCAAGTACCTCGGAGCAGTTCTGGGGACAGGTTCTTCCAAGGGTTTGAAGGGACTGCTCTGTGTTGGATTTGCACTGTAATTTGTGATTTCCCTGAAGAGCACAAGGACGGGCAAAGATTGTACGAGCAATGCCTTAGAGGACACATCAATTAAAAACTGACTCATCCAGCGGAACAGAGCCGGCAGAGACGGACGGTTGTACGAGCCTGATAGAGCAGACCTCACAGGCCGTTTTCAAAGAAAAGAGAGGAAAAAACATTTGACTCCTGAAGGATGGATTTAGTGAGCAAATGACAAAGACTGCAGCGTATAACCTGGAACTCCAAGCTCTGTTCCTGGCTTATTTTCATCCTTTCAATGGGAAAATAATGATACTGCATGAATAAGCATTTTCATAACTGGATTCTTGTTTCAAATTAACATACTTTTAGAGGTTTTCCCTTTGCACATCAGATAAACAGATATAACTTCCTCAGTCCGAGTGGAATGTGCAAGCCTTACTCAAAAGCATGCGACCAACAATATTTATTTATACTATTTTTATGAAAACAGAAAAAACCCACACTGAGCCATTTTCAGACTAGTTTCATTTTCTTAAATAACTGCTGTCTTTTGAACTTGAAAGCTTTCTGAACCACTAATTTTTGTTTCGCTCGGTTTTTCTCTCCTTTCTTTTGGCTCCTAGCTCCTCTTTGTTCCCTTTAAGCTGACTGCAGAAACACAGAAAAGCTATAAAACCTTCATTAGTCTTTTCAAACTTTAGCATATGAAAACGTTATTCTTAACAAGTCTAAAAATATCTCTTTTTATCTTCTTCTGCTAGTTCTGGGATGGCTTCAGAGTTACTAATGACTACTGTACACATTATTCAGTCCTTTTTTATTTTTGCTGACCTGACTCAGTTTGTTTTCTGTTGTCAGTATCTGCTGACGCCGTCACTGGTGTCTTTGCTGCTCCTCCAAAGACAGCAAGGCTCATGCATTTAATAGTCATAATGCATGATTTGAATATTTACGTAAGCTTGGGCAGAATGCTGCACATGTATGATGAACGCTGTTCGTTTCACCACACACTTCAAATCACATCAGGTTGATGTTCAAACTCGAGATGGTTATGCATCTGCAGAAAACATGATTGTGTAAATACAGTGACTCTCCTGCTGCAGGACGAAAGCTTTTCCTTAGACATACTTTTTAGCTGACAGCTTCACTTGCATCACTGCTGCTAGTTTGAAAGTCACTCTCTGAAGTGAATACCCTGTACCTCGCTGTGCAACAGAGTAAATGATAGATAATCTTCTGTACTGCATAGCTCAGCACATTCGGGTGTTTATCAGGCGTGTCCACGGTCTGAGGGTTTTTATTGTAGCTCCTATGCAAAAGGTCATGTTTTATGTTGCCATTCTGAATTGTTGCGGGTCCCCGTCTGCCTCGGCAGACTGAAAGGAAGCGTCATTTCGGTGTTTGGAAAGAAGACTATCAGGCAGAACCAGAGACCAGTGTGAGAGCCATTCATCTTCCAAACTGTACAGCCGGGGTGTCACGGTCTGTACAAGAAGAAGTGTTTCATCAGGAAGTTGCCAGAATGAAAACAAGTGTTCTCCCAGGGAGAAAGTGGTCAGAAGCTCTGACTAAAAGAAAGACTGATCGACACAAAGAGTGCAGCCTTCTGCTTTTAGAACCAGGTTGCACGGACATAAATAAATAGATCAAACACTAGACGAGAAGTCAGAGATACACAGCACATATGTGCATGCCTCTAACAGTCGGCCTCAGAGGGGAGCTAACAGCGACTTTGGCAACGAGGCCAAAGCAGGGGTGCATGCACAAATGTTTTCACGGTGGGAGACTGGACGATGATAAAAGGTATCCTTCGCTGGAACAAATCAGGTTTACATCCAGGAGTTCATGTTTGATTTCTGTTTGATTAGCATTAAATTACTGTGGAAGTCAAATTTAAGCATGCTTGTAGCTCCATACATGCCAGCGAGGGTCTGTCTGCCAGTTTGGCCCAGACTGAAAGGGGTGGCGTGAAATTTGCTTCCAGCACGTCTCCCAAAAACAAAAGTGTCACTCGGCTGGCAGAATGGGTTTAGCCCAAATAACTGCAAAGTTTGCGACGGCGCCATGAACCTGCATCGAGCTACCTTTAGAGCCATTTGGCTGTCAGCGTTTTAATATAATAAAGCTTGTGGTTAAATTCGATATGGAAGCTCTGCAATCCCTCACCTGCCTGCTTTCTTGTTCAGCCGCTGTTCTGTTCTTTAGATCATTGCCACACTTTCACACCCAGTCATAATACTCTCGTTCAATCACCTTCTTGCCTGCCTTCTTTGAGCCAATTAGCTTCCACTCTGGTTTAAATCTGTGCTCTTCATTGCTCTCCCTTTCAGACTGTCATTTGCACAACCCACCTCGTCCCCATCTCTATTTTCATGTTCACCACCACCAGCGTCTAGACTCCAGGGGGTCCTGTCCTAAATCCTATTCCTGCTGGGACAGGTAAGATGGGTCACCAGAGTCTGATCGCCAAATACATTCATTTCTTTGTCTCAACAAATCATGTTCAGTTCTTGATCTCTCCTTATTGAACACAGGAGATATAATAATAATAATAATAATAATGATAATGGATACTTTATTGATCCCCATGGGGAAATTACTTGTTTTTCTCTGCATTTGACCCATTCACTCAGTGAAGCAGTGGGCAGCCCACTAAGCAGGCGCCCGGGGAGCAGTGTGTAGGGACGGTACCTTGCTCAGGGGTACCTCAGGGTAGCCGTTAAGTGGATTCGAACCGCCGACCTTCCGATCATGGGGCGACCACTTTACCTACTGAGCTATCCCTGCCAGTATGTTATCAGTATGTTAGCATTGTCAGAGTGAGTGCTGCATTTCGCTCAAAGCTCCACTTTTAGGCTCACAGAGCAGCTAGCGTGGTAGTCCAGTGCACGACGATCCCCCTCCAGTTTTCTTTGCTAAAGCGTTAACTCAACCCTGTAGGAGGTCCCTATCAGCGAGAGGTTCTGCAGGCCAGGAGCTGTTCCACATTTTTACCTGGCATGCCTGTCCTCCCAGGTGCTCCCAGGTGTTTTACAAAAACAACTCTAGTTGTCTTATGAGGTCGCAGGCCCTCGCTCTTTTCCATTTCGTTACAGGTTACCACAGGTTCATGTTTTTTAAAGAAATCTTACATTGCTGGGCCACAACCTTCTTCTGCCGTCCACATCATTCCATAGTGCATTGAGATAGGATGCAGTTTTCTTTATTTTGCTGAACCTACTACTGTACCTTCTCAGGTGAACTGACCTAGCCTAACGCATGCACCTGTGCAACAAACTGAGGCTGTTTGCATGTTAGATCCTTTACATTTCTACTTTTTTAATGACGTTTTCATTCGTATGCATGACATACATGGAAGTGCTTTCTCTTCCGACCCCAAGAAAAGTAAATATATCATGAGGTTTCCTTGCAATATCGCTATAATGCACTTTTAAGTTCGCAAACTTTGACAAAACATGATGTATATAAACAGTATGTATTCTACACAAGATGCTTTTTCTTGCATGGAAGTGTGAGAGGCTCAAAATAACGAGTCTAAGGCACAGCACACTGCAAACACACTTCAGCTTGAATACTGGCTAATGAACTGGATAATCATAGTTATGCACAAATGTTATATTTATTACTTCTACAAATTACAAACATGTTTGTAACCACTGCAATGACCCCAACCTATAAAGCTGTCTAGCTGTTATTGCACAACTCTTTAGTGCTGAAAAGCTTTTATGTAGACTTTCACAACCTGCTGTGACCCTTTAACAGCTGTTTTTATAAGGTTTTAATGTTTGCAAGAATCACTTCATTAGTTCTGTTTACACTTAAGAAAGAGGGAGAGTAAAAGTGGACAGTCATACAACAGTTCAAATTCACAGCTTTTACACAGACTTGCTCACCGTGTCTTCTATTGTGGAGACCTAAAGTGTTCAAAGGTGAGAGTTACGCAGTTTTATGGAGTGAAAACAGACCAAATACAATCGCTCACTGACTGCTGTGTTAGGTACACCTGTTCAGCTGCATAGATGCAGATCGTGTGGCAGTCACACAGTGCAGATGTGATTCTGAATGTGGTTGTTGGTACCAGAAGGACTAGCGTGACTACTTCAGAGACTGTTGACTTCTGGATCTCTATAGTTTACACAGAGTAGTCTGAAACCAGGAGCAGCAGATGTAGAAGAGCATCTGTGAACATGTAACCACTGCTGTCAGCTAAGAACAGGAAACGGACCATCAAAACTGAAGATTCGAAACACGTCTGGTCTGATGCTCCTTGGCTTCTCCTGACATTCGGATGGCTCGGTCAGAATTTGGCATAAGCATGAAAACATGGCTGCCTGTGTCAGTGGGTCATTTTGGTCCCCTTGGTATGAAAATGAGCATCATTTAAACACAGCAGCCTACCTGATAATGACCACGCTGATAAATGTTTCCATTCAGCTTCTTGGATAAAATAAGATTTAATTACATATTGAATTTATTAAAAATGTGTGCAGGGGTACTAGCAAGGTGTACCTAATGAACTGTCCAGTTAACGATCCTAATGAGGCAATCACATCTTTGGCTCCGGCATGTTTCTATTAACTGAAAAAACGAATAAATACCCAGACACACAAATAATTCTTCGTTCTAATGAAACAATGATACTGAAAAAAAAAAAAGGTCAAAACAGAATAAAAAGACTCCAAAGGAGGGGCATTATTCTTCATTTCACTGGAATAACTTTGTTTTTGTGTATCAATAAGACACTTTTTATTTGGCTTGGTCCACTTTTATTATCTCTAAAAGATTTGTGCTTTTAAAATGTGGGAATTGGTGCTTAGGGTACAGAAAATCCATAAAGCATTCGTGATGGCTTCACTGGTTGGGCTCATTGAGGTTGCTGTTGCATATGTACTTCCTCCACTGCTCCGGTTCAGAACGTGCACCTTGTTATCATTTATTTGCGTCACACGTATATGAATAATATATTTTGAGGGATGAAATTAGAAATAATGTAATTTGTATACAGCCACTCGTTTATTGAAACACCTACTATAATGCATATTACTCTCCCTGTATAATCACGAGGTCAGCATTAGCACCTTTGGAACGTACAACATGAAAGTAATCTTTTAAAATAAAGTGTTGTTATATATTCGACACTCCCGTGTCTTTATTGTGCCGACTCCTGCCCGACACGATGAAGCCAGGTCTCAACAAACATGTCGTTTATTAAATGATCCAAACATCGTAAGTAAACAGTGCCACTGGTACACTGGACTGCCATGACTCTGTTCACATACACCTAAGCCATATTTGGATACATTACAAAAGTCAGCTTAAAATAATCAGTTCAAGGAGAGCTCTGAAATGAAAACTACAGAACTGACAAAAAAGGCAGAAAGATTAGAAACAGGTCAAGAAGCTTTTTGACATTTAGTTAAATGGAGAGAAAAAGAGAATGAAGCTCACAAGAGTACAACGGTACAACCCAGACGACTAAATGTCCATCTCTAGTTAACATGCTGACAGTGGAAAAAACCTTTTTTATATGACAAAATGAACCATTACGTTTTAAACAAGGTAGAGAAGAATGGAAGCGACGGAGCTGGAGAGAAAGCTGAAAGACGAGGACAGAAAGACGGCAACGAGCCGGGACCACGAGAGGAGCAGAGACAGCTACCCATCATTAGGCAAAAGCTTGTCACTCACTCAGCGACGACGAGAGGCACAAACACAAGACTTGCATAGAGATGTTTAGTATTCCCCAATGCATAGACAAACAGTTTCTCTGGTAAGAGGCTAAGATTTGCTCAGGGAAATCGAGGCACAGTGTTGTTAAAGGGGAGTCATATGGATTTGTTATATAAATTACATTAGTGTTTTTTGTCTGTGTCAATGAAAAACGCCCGTAGAAACCATCGTGGTGCTGTTCTGCTTTTCTTTTCTACTCTCTTTGTCAACAGCACGTCTTCCCTTTGAGTACGAGAGCCTAAAATAATTAACTGTAATTCAACGTTTGATAAATTACGATTAATTTGAGCAGAACTCCACCTTCAAATATGCTACCGGAAGCAGACCGCGCTCTCCGAAATGAATAAAACGTGAATAAAAATAAAGATATGAAGCCAAGTATGGAGATACTGACAGTCAAGAGCACAGTGTTTAATCCATCCTGCACATTATGAATATTACTGAGCAGATAAAGCAGAGAGCTGGAGGCTAGACCAGCTCCAGGCCCTAAAGAGTGGCCCGCTGTAGCATCACAGTCATGTCTGAGTGTTTTGTTTGCAGCGAGCACCACGAGTGTATACATTCAGAGGAGGTACGGTCACTGTACAGCTGTTCTCATACAGCTGTTCAACAGCAGATTTGGTTATTAGTGCATATTGCTCTAGACAAAAACATTCAAACTTACATGGCCTGAAACAATCGTTTTAGCTTCTGGGCTACAGTCCGAATCTGTCAGAGTGATAAAAGAACCAGCGGGAGCCAGGTGCAGCCCAGTAACAGTTATGTCGAGTTTGCAGATATTTTGCACTTTGAGCAAAAATTATGTACACAAAAGGTTCACCTACGTTACTATGCAACCTCCCTGAACAGGGATGACTGGACAGCCAGGCTGGCCTTAATTAGATCGAATCAAATGAATATAATCTCCTTGGCAGTGCCGCACTTCAGACATGAGTCCTGGTAGTTTGTGACTGGCAAGTACAGTGCAGGTACAGGAAAAAGTCAAAAAAGTGCAACAGGGACAGAAATGACACTAACATCCTGACAGCCGGCGCATCAGGGCGTTGAAGGTTTTTCATTAAATGTGACAAACGTACACGTCGGCCTCGAGCATAACCGGGACGAATCGAGTTAATGCCCATTTATCACTCTGAAACTCACGTGGTGACTTCCATGTGTGGAAAACCAAAACCTTTTCATTCTTAGTGAATTTTGCTCCGCTTCATATTTGTAATGTTTTACATGAAGCACTTGGGATTGCACTGTGGAAGGAGCATCGCGCTCCTCTTCTCTTTCCAGTTTCTCAAAACATTCAATGCAAAGCCCCCTGCAGCACAGGAGCTTCTTGTTTGTTGTTGCAGTTTCAGAGCAGGGCTGGCAGTGAAGCACTGCACTTAAGTACACATTTATAAAATGCACCACTTTGGGAAAAAAGAAAAAACGGCACAGTGACTGAAGGCAGAGAAGAGGAGAAAGACAGAGTTGATATGTGGCGTTGTTTCGTGTAAAGAGCACAATCGTAGAAATTGCACAGATCCCTCTGTACCAACACTGTAAAGACATGTTCTTTCTTTGAACACAAACACTGATATTTAAAGCATAACACTAATACACAAAAAGCACATCGCTTTCCCTTCTGACCAGAGTTCCTGGTTGCTCCAGAATGACATCACAATAAGGCAAGCAGCTGGTCGGAGAGGTTATCCCATCGTTCCCACTGAGACGTCACAGTTGTCTGCCAGTCTTCTGGGTCTGTGGTTATTTAAAGGACACGGCGCAGCGAGCAGCGGTCTAACTGCTCGACAGTCGATGGTAAAAGTAGACGTAGCCCAAGTCCTTTGGAGGTCTTTC